GTCTTGTATATCGCAGAAAAAAAATTTTCCACATAAATATTCAATTCCTCTCTTTTTCAGTGGATGTCTTATCTAATCCTTTTGGTGCTCCTCTATTGGGATCCATAAGAGTATATGTTGGTTTGTATCCCAATATTCTTTTCTCCTTTAATAAGCCAAGGATATACTTTCTATGGGATATGACAATTCCTTTTTTAGATCTAGCTACTTCTTTCCCTAAAGTTCAAAGATCTTCGATCTAAAACTCATAAGCCATTATTATTTTGATTATTTTAAGTTTCCGTACGGCATTGTCTATAAGAATAATTTAATCTACACATACAATAAGTATGCTATCATACCTTCTTGATTTAATTTCAAAATTAAAGTGTGATCAACTTTTGCAAATAGTACCCATTCAAAAAAATAGTCTTAGTAAGCATTTTAAAACAAGCACTGGGAGATTATTTTAATCCATACAATAATTTCCTTAGTTTTCACATCATTTGATTATTTGTACCATTATTTAATCATGAAGGTATCTTCATATACACATCTTCCTTAAGATCCCGATCAAAAAAATATAGTTTTAATGTCTAGGTAATGTAAAGGCTAATTCTAATTAACACCCAATGATAGCAATACTCTTATTATGTTGAGCTTTGTCACTAGTGCAATAGTTTCCTAGTAGCTAATCCCAAAGGACTAAGTGAATCTTTTTTCTACAAGTATATCCTAGAACCTTTCTAGGCTCCCATCTACTTTGTATTTAACAATGAATACACATTTACAACCTGCACCTCTTCTCAAGTGATTGAGTTGTTATGATCCATCTATCATTCTTTTCAAGGGAAAGAATCTTTCTTCTACATCCTTTTTTCAAGCAGCTTGGTTTGAATTTGAAACTTGCAATTATCCAAGTTTTGAACAAAAGATTTGTAAGTAGATGATAATTTTCATAAACCACAAATTTTTCTATAAGTTGTTTTGTGCATTCTTATACTCCTTCCTCCTAGTGTTTATGATGCGTTCACCCAACCTCTGTGTGAATACTTGGGGTGTGTGGAATTGGGTCTGGTGATTTGCATTCTTTATTTTGCATATTTTTGCTTACATGCTCAGTAGATTTTTTTTCTTTCTAGTGTACACACAGAGTTCTTTGTTTCTAGGGAGTGTTATGAGAGGATGTAGTGAAGTAATACATTCATTTTCAGGTTAATTTTTTATAGTGAGGACAAGAGTGGGTTCAATAAGGATATAAGGTTGGCAAGCTCCAGGTTCTTGAATGGTATCCCAAATATGATATACTCTTCAACTCTCCCCCTCTGGATGTTAGATTTGAGGTAAATATGGTTGGTTTTTAAGGTAACATCCATGGAGTTGTAGTAAAGCTATTATGTTTCTAAAGAGTTGCATTCATACCCCCTATTTGTTTAAATAATAGCTCACAAATATGCATTTAATTGACCTAGGATGAAGTTTGTTCTAATGTGGTTGATGTAGATGAACAAAGGCGATGCAACCAAACAGGTTTTAGTAGTAGGTTAGAGGTGATTGACTGAATATGAGGGCAATGTTTTATTATGGTGTTGATAGGTTTGTTAAAGTTTAGCACTCTATTGGACATCTTATTTAAAAGTTAAATAGATGAGAGAATCACATTACCAAGAAGTGTTTGGGTTCATTGTTAGTAAATAAAAATATATATGTGAATTCAAAGAGATATATGTTCATTCTTTCAACCACACTATTTTGTTGGGTTGTGTCAACATAAGAGCTTCTATAAATGAATCCATATTTAAAGTGTTAAGGGCCGAGAGTGGAGTTGTGCTAGTCTTTTACATTATCAATTATGAGAATTTGAATTTTTTTCTAAGATTAGGGGAGGATCATGTTACGGAAGGTTTCAAATATGCTGACAGTTTTAAATTTTTTCTTCATGAGAAATGTCCATGTGGTTATGGTATGCTCAATAATAAAGGTAACAAATCACCTAGCCTCATTTGTACTTAATATGTTTTAGGGCCCATATATATTACTATAAAACATGCAAAAGGGATGTGCTAGTTTGTATTTCAGGCTTGGGTTCATTTGTCGAGTGTGTTTAGCAAGTTGTCAAGTTTCATGCTGATAAGAATAGGGCTTTTTATTGAAAAAACAAATGGGTTATATTTTTCAATATAATAGAATTTAGGATGACCAAGGCAAAAAATTCATACCAAAACTTGACTCATATGAGAAAGGGAATTAGATATAAGACTTGACTCAAAGGATTGTGAATGATGAGATGATCTTTTTGAAGTGGGAATCATAGTGAGTAGAAAATTTTGTGATATATGTCAGTACTGTCAATCACCTTTTCTGAGTCCTTCACCATAAAGACACAAATTATGGTAGAATTTAGTTACAGAATTCATATCATGAGTAAGCTTTCTGATAGACGATAGATTGCATTTAATTTTATAAACAAAAAGAACATATTGAAAAATAACATCCTTTGTGAGTTTCACACTTCTTCTTCCTTCTATAGATGAAAGGGAGCGAGCCATCAGTGAACCTGATTGTAGTATGGTTCATATACGAATGGAAGGATTAGAAAGTAGTACATCACCTGCAGTGTGATCAGATGCTCTAGACTCCACCATTCAAGGCTGGCTCTTTCTATTGAGAGCAACAAGAGTAGATGAAAGACCACATTGACGTACTAAAGCTGTGTAGAAGGCTTAGAATATTGTCCCAAAAGCCTTTAGAAAGCTTCAAGTTGTTTTTTATTAAATGAACTATGTTCATGAGGCTTGTTTTTTTTTTTTATATTGTGTTTGCCTGATTTCTTCCATCACATTTGACTTTATTGGGATACCAATTTATAGGCTTTCCATAAAATTTCCAACACTCTCCTTCAAATGATTAAGCTTCTTGGAATTTTCACAACACAGTATGTTTCTTTTTTATTTGTTGTTCTAAGATGATTTGTGAGTGTATAAAGTCGAGTTGTCAATATTTGGTTAAATGAAATTGCCTGCCATCTAGAGTTTCTTCTTGATCTCTTTCCTCCGTACTTCAGCAAGGTCCCATGATTCTTCCTTTGATTTCATCTAGTTCCATGTTGATTCCTAGGAGAACTTTATGGTTCTCATCTATTCAATAATAGTTAGATAAAGAGCAATCTTGTAAGCACTTCCATGTGCATGTTTCATGCATATCATGTTGGAGCCAATATTTAAAGAGAATATTAAGTATTAAGTAACATTCAACTCACTATGATGCAAATATTGTAATCTAGTTTTAATGTCAAACAACTTAGATGTGTTTTTAACACTTGAATAGGTCTCTCTTGTGATATCCCATATTTCTTTTGTAGTTTTGTACAAAAGGAAATTTTCTTCAATTTTGTGGGCATAGAATTGACAAGCCATGACATGTTATATGCTATTCAATCATCCATGCTTAATATTTATGATCAGTAATTTCTAGTGCAAAATTTTCCTCTGTGACATGATCAAATTTTTCTTTACCAAAGATGTACATGAAAACTGATTGAGACAATTGGAGAATATTACTGTCATGCAACTTGTAATTGGTGATGAAGGAAGAGATTTCATATGTTGTAGAAACTCGTCTTAGGTTCAGATTCAAAAGTTACTTTTGAAAAGGAAGAAGATACTATCACATTGTATTTGTTAGTCATGATGAGTCAGCAGTAAGAACATCACTGGGAGAATTTTTACTAGAGAGAAACTATTTGTTGCCAACACAGAATTTCCACAGAGAGATAAATTGTCTGTCGATGACATATAATTTCTGCCTGAGAGAGAAACTCTCTCTCACAGCCACATAATTTCCACAAGAAAAAAAAAACTGTATATCATCAACACGCGACGGATTTGCCATCTCCACTAGAAGGAGAAGATTATTTCTGATCTAGGATTTTTAATAGGAAAAAACGATTGGATGTCGCAGCACTGATCACCCATTGATAATTGAAATAAGGAGTTGGAAGGTAGTCAAAAAAGCATTTGGAAGAAAGGCAGAGAATCAGTTGAGGAATCGCACCCCATGAGAAATTATTGATTGGGAGCATGGTGAAGACGACTCACAAAAGAAAATACCAAAGGAAGAGAGTGAGAAGGCACGGAATCAAGCACCTGAACGAGCAAACGTTCCAAGGGAAGGCAACGTAACTATCAAACGATCTACGCGAAGGAGACAAAACTAGCTGACGACCCATGCTAAGGTGACGGAACGAGTAAACGATCCTTGAAAAGCGGACGATTGCATGTAGGGAAGTAAACGAGCAGATAATCCACACTAGTAGGAAAAATTATTCCATACGGACGGACTTAAAAATTATTTCATATGGACGGACATAAGAAAAATTATTCCTAATTAGGTGATCTACGGTCATGATGTATTTCAGTATGCCCCACTTAAAATTAAAAAAAAAAAAAATTGAAATATATCCTGACCGTAGATCACCGTGATCTACGGTCATGATTGGACACCGAATGCAGAGATGCATGCGGTGTCCGTACGCAATAATTAGGGAAGGAGATAATCGAGAGGAGTGCCTATAAGGACTGGCGGCTAGAGCGAGAGGCTTTAGCAGAGGAACAATACCTCGGGTTTCTTTCTAGGCTCTAATACCAGGCAGATTTTAAGAGAATAAAACTCTTAACTTTTCAGCAAGCAAATAACTAACACATACATATAACTCAGACAAACCCTCTTACAATTAAAGGGGCACTCAAATCATCATGATAGAAAAGAAAAAAATAAATCACAATAATGGATCATTAAAGGAGAATAATTTCTCCCCTCAAATGTAACAGCAAGACTATTCATTTTTTAAACAATGTTCACATCAAACATATGTAAATCCCCCTTAATTTTTAATTGTATTTAGTACTTTTATAACTTCCTAAATATGGTCTGAACACCTAGAAATACACTAAAGCATAATAGGAAAGCATGTTTTGCCATTCTTATATTTTCTACAAAAAAAAAAATTTAATATCATTAAATTTTTTTAATCACACTCATAAATATTTGATAAATTATACAAGTCTCCGTCTTATTTATCACTTCAGCAATACTTGTAAGACAACAAATTGAAGCTAGTAACAGACTTCACTGTTCCCCCTCATAAATCCAGATTTAACTACATACAAAACCACCAACAAATCTGCATAAAACAACAATAAAGAAGACTTCATCTTTCACCAACATAACTCCTAACTTGGCTGCATAAAAAGGTGACAGATATGAATTCTATTCCACTGCCCCTCATCTCTCATCTCTCCAGTCCAAGAAACATTAGCAGGATACCAATATAGTAAAATCTAAAAGCATATCTGATTAACTTGAGCTTCCACTCACTCCAAGGAGGATATCTAAACGAAAATTCTATGAGAAAGCTTCTTCTCAATATGGCTTTTCCATGGCTGAATTGGTCGAAGGAGTACTTTCCGTGGTATTTTCCGAGGCCGCTTTCGCCGATACCCCCAAAGGGTAGTGAGTCTGCTGCAAACTGTCACAAATGTGCATCAAATGTTCATTAAAAAGCAAATGGTTATCCAATAACTGGGAGAAAAAAAAAAGAAAAGAAAATAAAAGGATGAGTTGCAAAATTATTGAAAGGCCTTTCAAGTTGCCTGATTACTTGTATCATTGCATCATTAAAAGTGATGCCGCCTGATGACGTTTCTTCAACGATCCTCCTCTTCAGCCTTTCATCAACTGTAAAAGCATAAATGACCAGAGGCTGTGGTCTCGCTTTCAAAAATTCAATGCTATCTTCAATCTTCTTTAGCTGTGAATGAGAAGATCATGTAAAGCTTAAATTTTTTTGAGGGTTATTTGATTTCAATATTTTTTCATGTGATGATGTGTTTTACTAGGAATGAAAGGTGGGTAATATGACAATTTCTTCCGCATTGAATAATTATAGATAGAGATAAAATTGGATGCTATCCAATCTTCATAGCTAAAAAGGGGGAGAACAAATGGCCATAATCACTATTAATCATTCTAAATAGCACTACAATTTTTAAGTAAGCATTAAAAGATTGTTTGGTCTAATGTCATCTTGGTAGCAAAAATACTTTTTATTATATAAGAGGCTCTTTGGTCTGGTGTCTTCTTGGAAATTGAGGTAATGCAAATTACACTAGAGATTAAGATTGAGGTAATCTAAAATCTAAATAGTGAGCAAATTGAACATTTGCTTAGGTTACCTCAACTTTGAAGGTTAATGGATATGAAAGGCATAAAAAAGCTTGAAGTCATTATTGATTATTCCATTGCAAACACTTTGCAATTCAAAAGAAATCCTATCATTTAAACAAATCAATAATATAGATAATGCTACTATTTTCTTATCATTACCCCAAACAACTCCTAAAACAAACACGGTGCATTTGGACAATAACATGTCAAAATTATGCTAACTACAAAAATGATAATTTAAAAACACTGAATCAAACAAGACCTAAATATTTTCTTATCAAATAACAGTTAGCTTAATATCATACTGTGATTATAGGAAGCATTGGCCCGAAAATCTCCTCTCTCATGATCTCAGAATCTAAAGGGGGGTCTAGCAGAATTGTCGGCTCAATTAACCTGCAAAGCAAGATGTGTAATCATTATTATCTCTGGAAAGAAAAAACTTTGGCGGATGATAATGATAAAAGGTTAAGACATTACAGGCCTTCAGCGTTTGATGAACCACCATACACAACAGAGGCAGCAACAGCAGGGTCATTGAGAATGTCCCTTAGTCTTTGAAAATGTTGCCCGTGAACAATCCTTGCAGTGTTCTCAGGATCATTGTACAATTTCTTGATCTTTGCCTTAAGCCGGTCAACCTTCAGGATGCAAAAATGAAAAACAAAGAGATCAATCTTTCTGAAAAAAAGCAATTTCATTGAATTCTTTATTTCATCATTTAAATTGGTAACTTGGAAATGTTTTTTGTGTTTTTCGTTGGGTTTAACTTGTATACTTCACTTAAGCATTCCTTGTATACTTCTGTTCTTGCACACTTCAGCGATGGATTGGAATATTGTCTTTTCTAATCTTACTTTTGGAGCTGTAAAGCATTTGGAAGCGTTGGGTTTAACTTCATATTAGATATATAAATATTAAATAAAAATTGGTTAACAAATATCAAATGGTGGCCCCTAATCCTTATAAGTTTGGTTGAAAATAAATTTGAGCATTGGTGTGCCAAGCCTAACTTATTTCACCCAAATTAGTAAGTGAAATCAAATCTAATGATTATAATAGAACTGAATGGTTCATTGTATTTGTGTCTTTTGTTGGTCTTTAGTGTTTTCTATCATGTTGTGTTCAAGAATGCCCAACTCCCATGACAACTCCACATGATTGGACTGTTTCTTAATGTATAATAATTGATGATCTTAAAAAAGTTTCATTTAAGAGGGAGTGATGGAAAATGAGAATAACACATGAGGGGAATTGTTATATTGGGTTAAATACCACAACAAATATGTAAAATAAAAAAAATGTTTCAATAGAAATACCAGAAGTAGAGCACAATAGGCTTAACAACTTGAATTGAAAATGAGTTTGACCAAGGGTAAATTAGGCCTATTTTCGATCCTCCTTTATTCCAGACACCAACATAAGAACATATTATGAGCCTTCATTTTCCATTGAAGTTAACTTAATAAAGTTTTTAAAGCAATTAAAAATGCTTTCTAAGCAATTGTTTGCCATGCAGGTAATGCAAATGACAGGAACTCTTACAATATTTTCAATGATAACCCATAAAGGACAACTTAAGATTGATCAAGATACCTAGCAATTCAAGTACATTTGAAATGCGATGGATAATGATTAGAAAATCATAAACTAAATAGTTTTAGTTTAGAAGATTGATTGGAATTTTTTGTTGAATGTGGTACAGCATTTTACATAGAGAAGGGTTACCAGAAGGGGTGCAAATTTCTCTTCCACAAGCAAATAATCAATTGCTATGCATGCCTGGCCACCGCAAAGACCCCACTTTGCTCCAGCAACTCTGTTTATGGTCACCTATGCATAAAAGATATAGGGAAACAAAATATTATAAGACAGGCCGAACAAAATAAAAAACAAAATTTTTATGAAATTAAGAAAGAATGCTCTATATTACTACCACATTAATTTTTCACTCCCTACCATATGATCACTACAAGCTATTTGATGTACCATATCTTAATCAATGCAACATGGAATGAAGAGAGGCGTGATGGTCGTAGTCTAGCTCAATCAGAAAATAAAACATGGACATCCCTTCAATTTTGGTTGTAAAATTCACTATCATTATCCTTATCAAAAAAATTAGGGTTTTCTGTTATGAATCTTCATTTTTCATTCATTTATATTGAACATTACCTAATGTTTTAAACATATTCTTCATAAATCTTTTTGAACATCTATCTATATAAGCTTAGGTCTGCCCATTTTCCTTCATGAACGTTTGAAACTAATTTTATCAACTCATATAACAGTCATATTTTTTTTATTTGTTACATATATTTAAATTATCTATATATTTTTAACCACCAAATCTTAAAAGCATCACACTAACATTTACTATTGTATAATCAATCCCTAATTTAAAATTTCTAGTTTTGCTACACTTCTATCTTAATATTAACATTTTCATATCAACCAGATATCAATCACTTTTCAAAACCCAATATTCGGATCCTTATAACATAGCATGCTTAATGTGATTTTAATAAATTTACATTTAAGTCTCCAAGATACCCTCTTATCACAAAACTCCCAAGCCACTTGATCATTTAACCAATCCAACCATTATTTTAGAAGTTATATAAACATCTATAATCTTTAATCTTCTATGAAGTAGATCCATGATATTTAAACCATTCACATATAAATTGTGAAGTAGCTTTTCCTTCAGTAACATTGAATAATAATAATTAAGATCATAGTCACTAACACTAAATATGTAACCGGTCTTTGCTTCATTACTCACTCATGCATTATTGTATGACTCAAAAAATTTAGAAGTGTTTCTTTAGATTAGTCCTTATTAGGTTTCCACACTTAATTACTAAGGGACTGTTTGGGGCAGCTACAGCTGTTTGAAGAAGCAGTTATGAAGCTGCTGCAGAAGAAACTGTTTTTAAAAAATTGCGGTGCCTATTACAAGTTTATTTTATTTTTAAAAAGTCAAACCGCAGCCTTCTGGCAGCCACCACGCTTTAACGACTCAGGTTGAAAAGAGCTGTTCGCTGCAAAAAAAAACAGTTCCCCAAACAGAACTGTGGTGACAGTCTGAAAAGCAAAGCAAGTAAAAAGCTTGTCCCAAACAAACCGTAAGTCAAATTATGAGTTTACAATCTTTTTTCCAACTCACCTAAAACTTCTACAACAATATTGTTGATGAGACTAATCATCTTATTCCATTAGAGGTTCGGCTCACCTAAAGAATTCTATTATTACTCTTTTAGCCAGGGGCATGCATTTGATTGATTTATCGTGTTTGGTTTACAAATTAGCTAAACCATTTAGTTTCAGTTCTAAAATTCAAAAAGTTTAGCAATCTAAACATTATTTCAAACCAAACTAAATTGAACCAAATTTTAATTCAATTAGCTCAATTCATTTCTTAATGAACAAAAATATAATTAGCTTAATAGTAAACCTAATTACCTTTATTTTAAATAGCATACATATTATAAAGAATATGAATTAATCTTTGCTAAATCTTATAATTTTGACATGTAAAATAAATAATATACATCTTCCTATCACTAAATTATTCAAGTTTCACAAGCTCTACTAATTTAAAATTTGAAAAACATAGCCAAATTTAGTTAACGATTTCATTGATTTTACAAAAATGAAAAATAGAACCAAAAATAAAATAAATATATATATATAACAAATAATCAGATGGATATACTAACATACAAACTTAACCAGCAAATAAGGACGGTCTTGTTTGGCTTTTTGCTTCCTCCAGTAATGCACAATTTTACTCTTAGCAACTATCTTAAAAGCATAACAATCCTACCTATAAAATTCCACCACAATATCCCAAGGACATGATTTCTTTTCATTGCATGATTATAAACTACTGCAAAATCAAGTATAGCTTCTCTTAATGCATTTTGTATCCCCCATTCCATAACCACCATAATTTTTTTAATTGCCTATTCTACTAGAACCTATCACTAGTATAAATCAACTTTAATAAATACATTTTTGAGTGGCAATATGTTGCAGTAGTTCATCCACTTTTCCCAATAATTACTTTTAAATTATCTTACAATCCAATTTGAGGAATCATAAGCACTAGCCACTTGAATAATTTTCTTATTAATAATTCTCTTAGTGTTAATAGCCATATCAATAATCTACTAAAATTACCAAAAGCACTAGCCCAACCCTTTTCCTATTACTAACTTTTCCAATAGTTTTCAACATCTATTAAGTTAAAAAACTCTTATTTTGGGATTTTTTGCTCTCCATTTTAGTTTGTAGTAAACAAGCAATATTTATTCTTCTTAACAGAGTTTTGACCGAGTCTCTTGCCTTCTAATTCAAATTTCTCATATTTCACATGAAATGTCTAATTCTAGATTTAACATTAGTTGAACATTGAACAAGTTTCACTACAATCACGTTAACTTAAGATAAATCATTTAGGAGTAATGTCCAAACCCACCCTTCTTATTTTTCATCACAATCAAGTTAATTTGTGGTGTGTCCCTAAGAGTGACATACTAGCAAACCCTTATCAACATCACCCTACATTCAAACTAGAACATGGTGTGTTGCTTCCACGCACTAATGCCAACATAATTCAAATTTTGATTCATTAAATTACATTTGATGCGATTTTTATGATTGTCTATCAACCATAGGAATAGGGGACAATCCAACCTTTCTCATTCATACTAGGGACATATATTGATGGCAATAAAATTAAAATAAAGCAAAATAATAATAAAAGTAATAAACACAGCTCACTAATTAGGTATGAAATTTCATGACCTTATTTGGATCTAAAAATACTAAGTTGAATCTGAAAAATCTTCTAAAAAAATTTAACAATGCCAAAAATTATCCAAATGTGTCTAATAACATAAAGAAATAGCTTAAAGTGTGCATATAAACACAAGTGGATAATGAAAAAATACAATGATTCACATTCAACTTATCATAAAATTTCGCATGTTGAGATTTCATGAAGCCATTACGATATCTGCAAGTGAAAAAATTGCAATCCATTTAAGACATTAAACTCCTATTGGACAAAACATTTCACCACCAAAAAGGATTGAGCCCTCATCATTTTTTTATCAGCCCTAAATTTGATTACTGCACTTTCTCAATATTATCACGACTTGTATATACATCTCATTGATGAACCATCAGCCACGTTAGTTTTCTCATTATGATAGATAAATATATAACAAAATTGCTCCCAGCCATCAACATTTTCAGTGATAGTAACATACAGGTTTTATGCTTCAACTTTTATTTTGAATCACTCAAAGCAATGAATTTTCAATTCGTCGGTCGCATAGCACTAATGGCTTCAAGCACTATAAAACTCGACCTTTCATTCGTTAACCTCAGAACGCAACACTGATGACCCATTACATTGACGGTTAGTTTGCTACTAACATAAGCATGGTTCAAAGAGAGATCGCCCAGTAGCTTTTAAAACGTCAAAGCATGCAATCTGGTGTGTTTCTTGCTAATAAAAATCAGAATATTACAGGATAATTTTAGAAAAAAAGCAAATTCCCTCATCAAAATTTATAAATTGGCCACAGTTCCCCTTTCTTGCACATTTTGCTCTAGGACTTCTTAAGAACAATTGAGAATTTCAAAATCCTACTTTTAAAGACATTTCATGGTCAAACCATTGCTCACTGACTCATTAAACATTAATCGATCAATGCCACTCAACATTTGTGTTAATTGACAACATTCAGTCACCTAAACATTTGCAAGCAGTTGATATCCTCCGCTAATTAGGGATGTCAAATCAGATTCATGGGTCAAGTTTGACTCTAACCCAAAATTGACCCTACTAAAACATGTTTTGACTCGAACTCAACCCTAATATTAAACAGGTTAGAAAGTTCGACACTAACCTGGCCTGCCTTCAACTAGACGACCCAAACACCACTCATAACTATTTAACAAGAGGCATAATGATGATTCAAGTCAAATTCAGGTTGGTTTTGAGTCAATCTAGGGCAAATTTCAAGTTTGTGGCTTGATTTTGAGCCAATTTAAGGTTAGCAGATTAATCCAACCAGAAAATGAAAATGATTGAGATTCCAAACTTGAACCAGACCCAAAATTTTTTCGAGTAAGTCTAGACCCAAAAATTCTTTTAGTTATGTTCGAGTCGAGTTGGGGTGTCGAGTTAACTTTTTGACGCCCCAACTACTAGGAGTGTCGAAAATTGACGTGACACACCAACACGACTCGAACTCGACTCGAAAAATCTAGGTTAAGATTGACTCGAATATTTGTTCGAGTTAGATTCGGGTCAGAGAATTCAACCAGTTTATAATTTGGGTGGAGTTCGAGTTGAATCCAAAAACCCAAACATGACTCGAATAAGCACGAAAGTTCATGTCAGGTTCGAGTTAGCGGATCAAGCTCAAGTTTAGGTGTTAATTTTCAACATGTTTATTATTTGGGCCGGGTTTGGGTTGAACCAATTAAGGTCGAGTCATTTTCTGACCGGACACGAATCGGACCCATATTGACGCCCCTAACTACTACCAACTTTCCATGCATAACATCATATGTTAATCATCAAAATGTGATATTAGCATGTGTCATGACCCAGCCCGGGGCTTAAAATCAATTAAGACGAGAACAGACGGTTGGATAGTGTAAACTAAATTTTCTATATTTGTCTATAATTTTAATAAATGAAAGAGCCACTAACGAAATTAAATTAAAATTATATAATCAAAATTACCTCGTTGTTGGATGTCCCCATCTTCTATAAATGTTTACTTTTATATCATTCATCTTTTAAATTG